TTATATAAAATATAAGAGAAAGAGAGAACTTTAAGAAATTAATATAGCCACTACAGTGACCATCAAAACGATGAAAAAATATTGCCGTAAAGTTTATTTTGCGACACCACGAAACAAACGATAGTGTAAAATGAAACGATAGACGTTTTTATATCGTCATCCGATATATATCGTTATATCGAACAGCCCTACATGCGCAATACTGGAACGTAAACGTTTTCGGCCGTTTCAATGTGGACGCACAACTTTGTGAAAATGACTGAAAACGACAGTGTGGACGCGGAGCGTTTTCAGACGAAAACGCCGTTTTCAAATTTATCCGGGCTAGTCTGGACGTAGCCTGAGAAACATTTAAATACTTGGAAAAATTGGAAATTACACAGAATAAAGTTGGTGTTTCTGCTTAATGCTTGTTTTTAATCTGGTCAAGATTTAACAACATAATAAACCCTGATCAATTTAGCAGACACGTTTAACTCTCCATATCTTCCTCCTTTGCTGCTCATCATCACTATTCAGCCAATCACAAGCCATAAACTTCCTGCAGGGTCACCATCTAACAGCTACACAGCAATGACAAGTTATATAAAAACCAGACATTTCTCTTTATACAATCCACTGATTAAAACCTGACCATGCTTACTGAAGGTCACAATAAATTGTGCGTTGAATGGTGAGCGCACCTCGTGAGTAGCTGAAGCAGCTCCTCAGGCTACAGTAAGTCATCCTCACTTCTTTTCTGTACTCAGATTTTCTTAGATGATTAAAACCAAAACATAAGTGCCTACAAATAACACTTCTGACTGATTTTGTGGGTGCAGGGTGTCAACACAAAACTCTGCTTGTCATTTTTCAGTTAATTCATGCTGGTTTTAGCTATTACAGGTTCCTAACTTTGTGCTGAATCCAAACTTTAACGTTTTCTCACCCCCGTGAGCTGCTCTTAGTTTCCCTCCTTGTGTCTCCTCACCTCTCCTTCCCCTCAAACTTCTCTCCCCTTTTCAGCAGCCCTGCTGAAGGAGATTCTCTCACAATGCCACTGTCTCAGAGTCTCGGTGTCTCCTCCGCAAATAGGCCTCGGTAACTAATCCTTCCTGCTCTTGTTTCAGGCGAGACCAGATAACACCCCCCTCCTCTTCCAACACCATCGGACCCCCCCTCCTCTGTAGCTTCGCTCTCTTTTTGCACCCCTATCGGTCCCCTTCTATGCCTCACACATTGACTTTGGAAAGCTTGTTTCCCAACTTTGATATAAGTTACAGTGAAAAGACATCCTGTTTCTCTTTGCCGTCTTTGAGGGCAGACAGTAAGGAGGTAAAAACTGTGAAATACGGCAAAGGAAAATTGTGGCCATCTAACAAACTTGTAACAAAAGTGCAGTTTATAATAAAACTGAAATTTGTGTCACATTGTGAAATAACATTAAGAGTTCATATCTCACGGAACGGACAGATTCTGGATAAAGGCATTCGTAAAGCTGTGTGCTTACCTTTGAGTAATCCAGCTGGTTTCTCAAAGTTTTTGCCTTGAAGAATAAAAGAAAAAGAGATAAAGCAGGCATGTATCTATGGCTTCTAAAGGTAAGCTTTAGAAATTTCTCCAAGGCACAGGGAATATTTCACCGTCTATTTCCCCACCTACACCTACAATAGTCAGAGGACTGAAAGCGTGCTTCTTCGTTGTTACAATTTGCACAATAGCAAATACAAAATAATTGCATAAAACAAAAGCAAAGAGTCAAATTCTTCATATAAAAAAACAAAAACTACTACCTGGAGTAGTTGTTGCAGTATGTACTACAATAAAAACAACTTCCACTGATTCAGAAGGGGTCAGGGCAAAACTTTTTAAATAAGGAACGACCCTGAAGTCTTAACTTTCCCGATGATGCTCTGCCAGCCTCACTGCTATTGTTCCCTGCCTGTAGGGGAAGTTATTTTTACCCGAGGCCTGCAGAAGCACTAGAAGCACAGTGTTTTTAAATTATGCGCAAAACAGCAGAAGTGTGAGGAGACGCTGGGGGTCTGCTTCTCTGGATGCAAACCCTCTTTTGGCCAGGCCGTCCAATCACAGTGGAGCAGGGGTGGGGTTAACACTATTCTGACCAACCGTCAGGTCCTATTTGATAAGACTGCTGCGTATGGCTTTACCAAAACACATCCCCCAAACTTTTTCTGGACTCGGTGACTGAATTTGTTCATTCAGTCACTGAGTGAATGGAGGGCAGGTCAGTCGGACTGAGATCAGGTGAGTTTTGTTTCAGCAGTATGGAGAAATTTAACAGCTTTCTCTCTCACCTTTGTTTTAGACCTCAGTTTGATCTTCTTTACTCATCACAGTAACAGATACTTTGAATTATATTATGAAGTAAGATTCATTCAACTTTTCAAGTTGGTTTGCACGCAGCTCTTTCAGATCTGATGCAAACCTATTTAAATTAAAGCTGATACTCCTGCTAGAAACAAAGGCAGTGAATCCAGCTGACCCTGGTGTCGTGGACCATCCTTAACGTACCTGCTGCAGCTGATGATGCCACGTCTCCCGGCCCATAATTTGACGGTGGAAAACGACCGGGGCAGCGGTCAGACTAAATGACAGCGGCTCTCCTACTCTGCTCTTCACAAACGGCTGCAGGTCAGAGTTCAGCTGCAGAAAGGCAGAGAACATTCGTCAATGCGGAGCTTCTACTTTGTAACTTTGAGCTTATCAATTAAACCAAGTCAGTGGTGAAAACAGTCAAGGTTGCATTTGCCTGCCTACACTCTGAGCTGACCCTGTTAATGAACAGACACAGCTAGCCTGATGAGGACGGTTCTCCTTCAAAGACCTCATTTTTGGTTCCTCCCATGCTGAGATTCCCTGTAGCCACTGAGGCCTGCAGGCAGGCAGCTACAGGGAGCCCCAGCAGGAGAGGACGCACTAAAGCAGCAATGAGAGTGGGATCATTATGAATGACTTCTACACCAGCGCCAATAATATTCAGCTGAAAATCTCTGAACCTTGGAAAAAATAACTGAGCAGCTGCATTATTTACATCTTAATGACATTCTAGCACATAACAAATCAACCTTCTTCCTGTTTCCACATTTTTATGCCCCTCTCTGATACAAGAATAATAAGACAGACAGGCACTTAAGTCTAATGTTTCCTATGTTTCGTTTGCACTTTTTGTAGTGCCGATAAATCACTCTGCTCCCTTTAACGTCACACTTTTATGTATGAATTCAGCTACAGTGTGAAGTATTTGATAAATAGACATAAAAACACTTTTGAAAAGAAGGGCAATTATTCATACCGAGGATGAGAGAGAAAGAAGTCAGACATTACTGGAAGCCAGATTTTTTTTCTTTACTTTGAATTAACTTGATCACAGAAAGCATGTCAGTCAGGAGGTCCAAAACTTTAGCATAAAAAAAGATCAAAGACTAAATTAAAACCGCCAGAAAACCTCCACATTTTTAATTTAAGTACTGACATAACTCTATTTTCACTGCACATAACAAAATGCAACAATCTATGTTGCCTCTTCTCTCTAAAAACAACACGGCTGCACGGCTTAGGTTTGCAATGACTTCTGGAACAATGTCTGAACAAAATGCACGGCTCCACATTTGGCAATAACCAAACACATCATATCACCACGGCGGTGGAGGAGTGACAATTTGGGCTTAGTTTGCAGCCACAGGACAAGGGCATCTTGCAGTCATTCAGTCAACCACAAACTCCTCTGTATACCAACATATTCTAGAATGAGTCCTTCTGCCCGACAGTTAAAGTTTGGCTGAAAATGGGTCAAGCACCAGGTCAGCGATCGACACATAGCATGGCTGACAAAGAAAAGAATCAAGCTGCTGCAACAGCCCACTCAAAGTCTAGACCTCATGCCTGAAAACTTCAACATACTGACATCCTTAAGCTGCTGAATTATCGACTGGGACAATGCTCCTGAACCATCCATATTCATAGAGACAAAAATCCCGGGAATTACAATATTTTTTCTGTTTCCAAGGAACTAATGACAGAAGCGACTAATTTACGCATAACTATCTTTCTCTTGGCTTTTTTCTAAGACAGTCAGCCGTTTATTACATCTTTTTTTTAAATCTCTTGTTTAAATTATCAAAAGAGTTTGTTCTTCTTGTATCTAATCCCTTGAAATCCAGTTGGGTTTCCTGTTAAAAAAGGCATCGTGATGATACGCTGATCAACCATTATAGATTTATTGCTCAGACAACCATCTTTCTTGTATATGCTGGATTCGCCTCACCTTGTGGCCCAGTGACAGGTGTTTGCCGTACTTGTAGGCCAGTCTTTGAGACTCTTTGTCGTGTTTGGCGAGCTCCATCGCAGCTTGACAGCTCTTGGCTAGCAGCGCCCCATGAGACAGGAACGTCTGCTCCTCCCACGCCGCCACGTCGATGCCGTCGGTGAGGCCGTTCTCCTGCAGAGCAAACAGAGGCAAAGAGCATGTGTGAGCAGGCCTGAGCTTCCTCCGCTTTTAAGTTCCCACAGAGCACCTCGCTGCTCCATCAAAACAAGCCTTCCTTGCTCTTTGACTTTATTTCTCAGTGTGTAATTCGTGAGGCCTCGGCGAGTAGCAGCACACAGTTATTTTCCACAAGTTCCTCAGACATTTTAAAGGAAGAAGGAAACAGTAACAGCAGAAAAACAACTGAGAGTTTGCTTTTTTTAATTTTGCAAATTTAAGTAAATCATAAAAAATATACACAAATGGAACCAGGTTGTTATTATTAGAAACTATAAAAAAAAATCTAAATGTCTGGAAAATAGAGAATAAAAATCCACTGAAACCCATAAATTACGTGTATGAGATTTTCTGAAATATATAAAAGTAATAAAATAAGTAAATTGTGTCAGAGTTGGAGATGTTTTTTTAAACTACCTCAAATTAACTAGTTATAAACTCAGCACATAACCTACAGATTTAGATGAGTTAAAGAAAATTGTTGCTCACTGGTACCTCTGATTACTGTGGACTATTTAGGAAAGAAAGCTGCTTATTACTATTATTAGTCTTATTCAGGACGTCTGTTATTCTCATTATAGTTATTGTTGGCCACTTTCACACAGAAGCATTACTAACCTTTCTATGCTGCTCACAGTAGGTGTTAACTATTTAATCTAAAGGCAGCCAAACATTATCTTTGGTTTCTTGAAGCTTTTAACTGAATCTGAGTAAGCTTGTTTTGGCAAAAGTATATTTCTTAAAATAAGGATGCTGGTGTTACTATATGAAAATAACCTAAAGCATTTTTCTCTGCTTCTCGGTACTTTCTGATTTTCTGACATTATACCCAAATTTTTTCTACGGATGATTCAGATATTTCAAAAGAGGCTATATGACGTTTTTTTTGTTCCTAAATAGCTCATTTCCATGAAGCAGTCAGGCACTAAAGCTGTAGCAGGCATTGTATTGGTGGAGGGAACCTACCCTTAAAAGGCCAAAGGTGGGGCATAC